AGCCTCCAGTCCCCTGATCATCTTTGTTGCTCTTCCCTGCACTGTTTCTAGAGTCTCAACATCTTTTTTACATTGTGGTGACCAAAACTGGATGCAGTATTTACATTGTGGCAATGAAAACCGGATGTAGTATTCCAAGTGTGGCCTTACCAAGGCATTGTAAAGTGGTATTAACACTTCACGTGATCTTGATTCTATCCCTCTTTAATGCAGCCTAGAACTGTGTTGGCTTTTTTGGCAGCTGCAGCACATGGCTGGCTCATATTTAAGTTATTGTCCACTAGGACTCCAAGATCCAAGATATATAAATATAAATAAAAATGGTGACTGGGACATGATATGAAACAATGGTAACCTGAAAACAAAAAATAAATCCCAGAAATATTGAGGAAAGTTGAAGTAGAGTAAAAACATTCTAGAAAAGTAAAATTTACAATAGAGAAAACAAGTGTTGGATGGGCTGATTTCCATCGGTGAATAGGAGTTCTTTAAAAAGGACAAATAGTAGAAGATACAAAATAGTTAAAAACTATTTTAATGTAGGAATGTGGTCTCAATTACAACGCGAACTGAATTACTCTCTGGGAATATAACGGAAAATAAACATTTGCCTGGTTTCTAAGAACTGACACCAATTTAATGGCACATAATAAAATATCTAGAGCTCAGAAAAAAAAATCAGAACTAAGTGAATGGAAAATGAGGATTTATCAAGAAAAAGAGAAAAGGCAGGAAGTTGCACCCATTTGGAGTAATTCGTCTACATTTGAAGATAGAAGAGAAAAAAAATAGCAAACTTTAGTAATTGGAACTAGAAACAACCCACTCAGTCACTTCAGTTCTTTAGTCAGTACGGAAGAAGCTTCTTGGATGAAAAGTGAAACGTCTTCAAGGCAAAACAAAGGAAGTCCAGTTGCTTCTTGAAAAACAACACCTTTGGGTGTTCCCAGCAGCAGAAAGACTGTTGCAAAAACATCAGAATTAAAAAAAAACAAAAACATAGAAAGCTTGCTTTCTATCTTAGTATGGTTTGGTGTTAAAATATGGTTTAGTGTTAAGCAAAGGGAAATAATAATGAGGCCTGTTTTGTCTTCAATAACTTTCCTAATGATTCCTAACATGGTATTTGCCTTTTCAGAGCTACTATATAGTTAGTATCTTCACTGTGCTCTACCCAGAGGTCCCCAACCTATGAGCAGTGGCTCAGGCTGTGTGTCTGTCTGTCTGGTGCGTGCATGTCCAGGCACAGCCCCCTGCGAGTGTCGCAGGCATTTGCAGCCCCACTCGTGCGTCACTGCGAGTGTTGTGGGCATTTGCGGTCCCACACACACGTCATTGCAAGCATCATGGACATTTACAGCTCATGTGAGCATGGGGGGGGGGTTCGTGGCCCCAATCGCGCGAGCATCACTGCGAGCATCGTAGGTGTTTGCTGTCCCACTTGCACGTCACTGAGTGTTGTAGGCGTTCGCAGCCCTGCTCGCACGTCTCTCCGAGCGTTACAGGCGTTTGTGGCTTCACTCGCACGAGCATCACAGTCGTTCGTGGCCTCACAAAACCATCCCTTCTTTCCTTCCTCCGGGTCACCAGCCCCAAAAGTTTGGGGAAGTCTGCTCTACACTGCAACCCCAAGATTTTCCTCCTCTTTAGACACAGTTTACACTTCAGCAGCATATATCAAGTGGTGGATTGTTGTGGTTTCATACTTAGCTCTTATTAAATGAGACCCACATTTGCACAGTTGAAAGAGATCCTTCTGGAACTTCTCACAATCACCCTTGGCTTTTTCAAGCCTGAATAATTTACTAGTGTAATCTCTAAACTGGACACTGTTTACGGCTGGGGCCATTGCATTTTCGTCTGAAGACTTTGGAGTAAAATGTTTCATAAAAATAGCGTCTCTTGTATATCCAATTGCTAACTATTGCTGCTGAAAATATTTTATTAATTAATAGCAGTAGCACTTGGACTTATATACCGCTTCACAGTGCTTTACAGCCCTCTCTAAGCGGTTGACAAGAGTCAGCCTATTGCCCCCGACAATCTGGGTCCTTTTACCCACCTTGGAAGAATGGAAGACTGAATTGACCTTGAGTCCCATCAGGATCGAATCCCAGGCTGTGGGTTGAGTTAACCTGCAATACTGCATTTTAACCACTGCACCACCAGAGCTCATAATTAGGTTATCTCTCCAACAGAACAAGTAATTAAAAAAAAAAAAAAAGAGTACCCAGGATATTTAGAATGTTAACCTCAGGAAGCAAACTTCAGGTAAAACCAATCCTGCTAATTATCTCCCAATAAATATGTGTATGGGACCCCATCTATATATATGGGTCTATTCATGCATCACTCAGAAGCCACATTCTCATTCCATATTCAACAAGGTCCAAGAAAAAAAGATGAATGTCAACTGAATTAACAGATGAAAATTGCCAGCAAAGAAGCAAGCTAGCTCATCTCCTCTGCACCTACCCACAATTCACACACTCACACATCAGCACTCTCCTCCCTCCTTCCAGCCGCAACAAGAAAAAAGAAGAAACACGAAGAAGCAGTTCCTGTGGAAAAAAGAAAGATAAACTGGAATAAAACTGGAAATGGAGTGAGGGAAAGAAATACAGGTGGTCCTTGCTTATTGGTCAATCATTCAGCAACTCTTTGACTTTCCAATGGCATTTATAACCAGTCATCGGAGTTATGGCTGTCACCGTGTCCCACAGTGAAATGGTTGCCATTTGCTACCTTTAAAGGAGAATATTTATAGCTCAGGGTTGAAATGTGGGGTCCTTGGTGCTCTCTGAACTTGGTTTTTTTGCGGACATTTCATTATCTAACTAGGTAACATCATCAGTGTTAGAAGGGAGTCGGGTTTACAGAAAAGAGGACAAAGAGGAGGAGGAGGAGGAGGAGGAAGAGGGGGGGAGGGGGAGGGGGAGGACAACTGTGGAGTCCTTGGTGCTCTCTGAGCTTGGTGGTTTTCTTGCAGACGTTTCAGTAATTAGGTAACATCATCAGTGTTAGAAGGAAGTGGGGTTTACAGAGGAGGAGGAGGAGGAAGAGGACAACTGTGGAGTCCTTGGTGCTCTCTGAGCTTGGTGGTTTTCTTGCAGACGTTTCAGTAACTAGGTAACATCATCAGTGTTAGAAGGGAGTGGAGTTTGCAGAAAGGAGGAGGTGGAGAAGGAGGAGAACGACGACTGTGGGATCCTTGGTGCTCTCTGAGCTTGGCTGTTTTTCTGCGGACATTTCATTACCCAAACTAGGTAATATCATCAGGTAACAACATCATCAACGTAACATCCAATGATGTCACCTGGTTTGGGTCATGAAACGTCCACAAGAAAACAACCAAGCTCAAAGAATTTCCTCTTTTGCTACCTTCTTTGTGGCATTCCACCGAAGTCAATTGAGAAGCCGGTGACCGTGTGACATCTTTGCTTAATGAGCCATAGTGATTCGCTTAAGTGACAACAACTGGGAGTACTAGAATTGCTGACCCTAAACACGGCTAGATATCGTGTTCTACCACATTACTGCCAGCGTTAACTGAAGACAGCATGTTAAGTGAATAACAAAAGGGGGAGGAAAAGACAAAATCCCTGTATAGCTCATAGAGAAAGAATAAAACACCAACAGACAAGGACAGCAGCAACTGTAAGCCCCAGTCCCCAAAGTCTACTGGTAGAGGTCTAGTTGGAAGAATTGCTGCCTAATTCAGAGTCCCCCAACCTTTCTGGGTTGTGGCCCAGGGGGAAAGGAAGGGGTAGGTGCCTTTATACGCACATGCACACACATGTAAGAGACCACGTATGTGCACTACAAATGGGGCTGCAAGTGTGTGCGTACCACAAACAGGGCTGCGGTCACACACATACTCATGGCCGTTTGTGGTGCGATGCTCATGGCGATGCTAGCACCCGTGCAATGCTTGCAATGCTAGTGTGAGTGGGGGGATAAGTGCACGCACACATACACACACATTAGCCAGCCACTCACATGGCCCGGTGGCCAACAGACCACAGCCCGATAGTGGGCCATAGCCCACAGGTTGGGAACCCATGACTGGCCTAGTCAACAAATGTATTACGTCTGGAGTCACTTGCACTTCCCCTATATTCCTTCAATTTCAACAGAAACTTCTCGGGAGATTAATATTAAGGCAAAATGCTAATGATGATTTTATCCAATCAGTTGTGTGTCTGACTCTTGATGATTCTCGGGACTCTACTTGTTCCATTGCTCTGGCTGGTGCCAGCTTTGATGGTGTTCAGCCACTATGTTCTTTGGCAGCCTGGCTTCCTGTTACCCCTAACTCTTTCAAACAAAATTCATTTCATATTTGGGGAGAAAACTCACTTTCCTCATTTGGTAATTTGGGTACCTGGTTAAACAAAATTGGTGGCACCGAAGTATCGGTGTAGTTGGCTTTTTGTGCTTTAGTACATTACCACGTGAATAAATGCTTGGCATCTCAGTGTGTCTCTATTAATAGTCACACTTTTCAACAGAGGGGGAGGAATACGACATCATCTATCTTCAGCTTACAACACAGTCCTTTCAACAGTTCTAAGAAGGCTCCACATCCATTTGCACCACTCAGGTGACCCTGACGACACAGATAAACCTCCAGGTGGCCTCAACGACTCTCTAAAAGAATGCAAATGACCAGCAGTCTGCAAGGAGTATAAATCCTTTCATTCCCCACCATCAGAGTTGAAGAAGCTTCTTGGATGAGAAGTGAAACGTCTTCAAAGAAAAACAAGAAAGTCCAGTTGCCTCGTGAAATAATACCTTTGGGACAACCATGACTGGATGACTGAGATCTCCATAGTCACACTTTTCAAGGATTTTTCTCTAAGCACCTTGACTAATCCACCTTACTACCGACTTCCCCTTCATCCTTCCTTCAACTGTGCAGATGTAATTCTTTTTTTGAGTCTGTCATGCATTTTTATCCAACTCTACCTGACATCCATCAGCTCAGAATTGGAGTCCACAAAGCTGTTTCTACAGTCAACACGTTTATTTGGTTCTCCCCTGTGTGGATCTTTTTATGAGAAGTCAGTTGACAGTTCCAAGTAAAGCTCTTTCCACATTCCATGCATTTATAGGGTTTCTCTCCTGAGTGGATCCTTTTATGGGAAATGAGATTACTTCGCTGATTAAAGCTCTTTCCACATTCCATACATTTATAGGGTTTCTCCCCCGAGTGTATACTTTTATGGGAAATAAGATTACTTCGCTGACTGAAGTCTTTTCCACATTCCATGCACTTATATGGTTTCTCCCCTGAATGGATCCTTTTATGCAAAGTAAGATCACTGTTGGTACTGCAAGTCTTTCCACACTCCGTGCATTTATATGGTTTCTCCCCGGTGTGGATCCTTTTATGGGAAGTAAGGTGACTGCTTATAGTGAAGCTCTTTCCACACTCTGTACATTTATATGGTTTCTCTCCCGTGTGAATTCTTTTATGAAAAGTAAGGTGGCCACTCTGACTGAAGCTCTTTCCGCATTCCGTGCATTTATACGGTTTCTCTCCAGAGTGGATCCTTTTATGCGAAGTAAGTTGACCATTCTGACTGAAGTTCTTTCCACATTCTGTGCATGTATATGGCTTTTCTCCAGTGTGGATCCTTTTATGAGAAGTAAGCTGTCCACTCTGACTGAAAGTCTTTCCACAGTCCACACATTTATATGGTTTCTCACCTGAATGGATCCTTTTATGGGAAGTCAGGGAACTATTTTCACTGAAGCTCTTTCCACACTCCAGGCATTTGTACGGCTTCTCACCCGAGTGGGTCCTTTGATGGGAAATAAAATGGCTGCTATTGTTGAAGCTGTTGCCACATTCCATGCATTTATATGGTTTTCCTTCCACGTGGATACTTCGATGGAAAGGAAGAGGGAGGTTCCACTGGGAAGTTTTCCCGTGTTCCATGCATTCGTCTCGTGTCTCTTTCATATAAATACCGGAGTGTTCGCATAAATCTGATCCCTCTCTAATTTTCTCTCCAAATGGGAAACACATTCCTTTTCCTCCATGATCTTCTTGGATCAGGAAAAGATGGACATCTGGATTTTGAGAAGTCGAGGAGATCTGCAATTCACCATTTAACTGGCGATCCTCTGGCCATCGTGGCCCTTGCTCGTTTTGAAATGTCTCCTCTCCAATTTCAGTTTTGACTGTTTGCAAAGCTGTCTCTTTGTAATTCTCATTCTCCCATCCATCACCTGTTGAACCAAAAAAGAAAAAAGTTCATGAGAAATCTTGGGAGTCTTAGTGGACAATCATTTAAATATGAGCCAGCAGTGTGTTGCTGCTGCTGCCCAAAAAGCCAACACAGTTCTAGGTTGCATTAACAGAGGGATAGAATCCAGATCATGTGAAGTGTTAATACCACTTTATAACGCTCTGGTAAGACCCACACTTGGAATACTGCATCCAGTTTTGGTCGCCAAGATATAAAAAAGATGTTGAGACTCTAGAAAGAGGGCAGAGAAGAGCAACAAAGATGATTAGAGGTCTGGAGGCTAAAACATATTAAGAACGCTTGCTGGAATTGGGTATATCTAGTTTAAGGAAGAGAAGGACTAGGGGTGACATGATAGCATGTTCCAATATCTCAGAGGGAGTCAAGCTATTCTCTAAAGCACCTGAAGGCAGGACAAGAAGCAATGGATGGGAACTAATCAAGGAGAGAAGCAACCTAGAACTAAGGAGAAATTTCTTAACAATGAGGACAATTAATCAGTGGAACGACTTGCCTCCAGAAGTTGTGAATGCTCCAATACTGGACGTTTTTAAGAAGAGATTGGACAACCATTTGTCTGAAATGGTATAGGGTTTCCTGCCTGAACAGGGGGTTGGACTAGAAGACCGCCAAGGTCCCTTCCAACACTGTTATTCTATTCTAGTAAGAAATTTAAAGCATAACTCGAGAGTGCTATCAGAAATCAAGCCCCATTATCTGCATCTTTATCTAGTATTTCCCTATTACTCCTATCCCGCCTTTTAAACCATAGTTCCAGTCTTTCCCTTTCAAGATCCCTATGCACATGTTCCTTCTGCTTCATGACACCTTTCAAGATCCCTATGCACATGTTCCTTCTGCTTCATGATACTACTTCTATCAGTGCATCTTCCAATTCGTGGAGTGGGGACTACTGTTTGAAACCTAAGCAGTTGACAAGTAATGGTTCCATCTTGTCCCCCATACAGTCCAGTGTTTATTGTCCTTAATATTTTGGTTTCCTAATGAGAAGGAAGGACTCACTGGAGAAGGGCCTAATGCTGGGAAAGATTGAGGGCAACAGAAGAAAGGGACGACAGAGAATGAGGTGGCTAGATGGAGTCACTGAAGCAATAGGCGTGAGTTTAAATGGACTCCAGAAGATGGTAGAGGACAGGAAGGCCTGGAGGAACGTTGTCCATGGGGTGGCGATGGGTTGGACACGACTTCGCAATTAACAACAACAATTTTGGTTTCAAGCATGAAGAAAAGACAAGCTGTCAAGTTCAATTTAGATGAAAAACAAGAGACAGATGCCATTGCCATACAGGAAACTCAACTTGGAAACTAAGATTTTGTCTGTTTCAGATGAAGTCGAATGCTCTGGATAAAACTTGTACAGAACTGGTTTGGGAAAAATCAGTTTGGGTACGTCTAGTTTAATAAAAAGGATTCACAGTGACATCATAGCATGTTGCAATACTTAAGGGGCTGCCAGAAAGAAGAGGGGGGGGGGGGTCAACCTATTCAAAGCATCTGAAAGCAGAACAAGCAGCAATGGATGGAAACTAATCAAGCAGAGAAGCAATCTAAAACTAAGGAGAAATTTCCCGAAAGTTAGAATAATTAATCAGTGGAATGGCTTGCCTTCAGAAGTTGTGAGTGCTCCAATACTGGAGGTTTTTAAGAAGAGACTGGACAACGATTTGTCTGATTTGCTTGAGCGGAAGGGGGTTGGACTAGAAGACCTCCAAGGTCCTTTCCATCTCTATTATTCAGCTAATTATTTTGTAGTAGAAAATATCACCCCCATCTATTTGAACATAAAATAAAGAAAAACCCTTACCCAAGCTGGCCAGATTCCTAGCATTTTCCAGCATGACTTCCCTATATAGATTTTTTTGGTTGCAATCCAACAGAGCCCATTCTTCCCCAGAGAAAAATACAGCCACATCGTCAAAAATCAGGGGAACCTGTAATAGGAAAAGAACATTCCCCTATCAGTGAAGAGCTATTGAAAGTGTTTACATGTACCCTTGTAATGAACAAGTCCCAATACCAGAGTTTCTCCTTGTGGAAGAGGGAAGTAGGGAAGAAAGAGAAGGAAGGGAGAAAGAAGGTAGAGAAGAAGGAGTGGGGATGCAGTAAAAGGGGAAATGGGCAAGCAACACCAAAAGTCATGTGCATGTATTTATTTCATTAAAAGTATCTTATATATAAGAATGTAAAAAGAATGTATGTTAATATCTGATAAATATCACAGTATATGTATGGGGGAGAGTTTGGAAAAATAAAAAATAAATTAAAAAAAAAAAGAGATTTATTGCCAAATTGGCTACCAGCTACCTTACAAAAAAAAAAAAAAAAGTACCTTCTGCAGACAAATTCTACAATACGAAATAAGCAAAATTCAAGCTATCATTTGGTAAATGTTTTATTAATTCTACCGACTCTGCACAAAACATTGGATATTACATCAAATACATCTGACGGCTGAAACTCCGATATTCCTCTTGATCAACTGATACCACAACCATGGATGCTTCATTAAATAGGAACTTCAGATCACCCTGTGAAGAGGCTTGCTGACTCCTCTTTAAAATGTTAACTAGTGGCTTACGTTGTCCCTCAGATATCAACACAGTTGTTATTCGACAGATCGATGAAGATTCACTCATTCCCAATGAGTGAATTCATTGGGAAATGAATTTCAGGAAGAATGATGAAATGGCATCAGTTAAGAGATGACAACACAGCGTTGTGTGGACTCCTATTTACTTATAGGAAGGTTGCTCATGCTCTAAATATCGATTAGATGGGAGTTAATAAAGTGAAAGAAGTTGGCTATGCCCATCTTGAATGAACCCAAAGATTCTTTTTCATGAGGCAACTGGACTTTCCTTTTTCTCTTTGCAGACGTTTCACTTCTCATCCAAGAAGCATCTTAAGCTAACTGGATGGTCCTTGCAGACAGCTGGTCATTTGCCTTCTTTTAGAGAGTCGTTGATGCCACCTGGAGGCTTATCCATGTCGTCAGGGTCACCTGAGTAGTGTAAATGGATGTGGAGCCTTGGAACCGTTGAAAGTACCACACCCATCTGCACTACTCAGCTGACCCTGGTGACACAGATAAGCCTCCAAGTGGTCTCAAGGACTCTCTTAAAGAATGCAAATGACCAGCTGTCTGCGAGGAATAGAAATCCTACCATTCCCCACCATCCAGCAAGGGCTGAAGAAGCTTCTTGGATGAGAAGCAAAACGTCTTCAAAGAGAAAAAAAGAAAGTCCAGTTGCCTCGTGAAAAAGCACCTTTGGGACAACCATGACCTGGATGACGGAGAATCTCCATAGACCTCTTGGATGAAATTGGATGCCCCTTGAGTCATTCTAATTTGTTGGGAGAGGGGAAAGTCCTCCTACCTGAGCTGGGTGGATAACTATTGTTTCTGCTCCACTATAAAGAGGGGATACTTCCACAGGTGCCATCAGTAACATTCCATCCTCTGAGAGTGAGATAAAAGAAGAGCAAGCGCACGTTTTAGAAAGATCAAAAGAATCGCACACAAAACTATTCTAGCACCCAGGTCTCGGCTACTTTGCCAAAACAAGACCTTAAATAACAGTAGCTGAGATACAGGTAGTTCTTGACTTACAATCACAACGGAGCCCAACATTTCTGTGGCTAAGTGAGACGGGTGTTACGCAAATTTCCCCTCATTTTACGACCTTCCTTGCCACCGTTGTAAAAGTGAATCGCAGCAGCGGTTAAGTTAGTAACATGGTTGTTAAGCAAATCTGGCTCTCCTATTGACTTTGTTCGTCAGAAGATGACAAAAGGTGACAGTCAACTTTACAACGAACCTGGCTGCAGCCATCTTGCTCGTTTTTTAGGTTGCCACCTGAATGGGAGGGGGTGCAGAGGATCTTTGCTAGTCTAAACAATTCTGTGTCCTGTGGGAACCAAGGTCATTCTATCGGTTAGGTTAAAGGGTTGGGCGTTTTGTTAGAAAGCCCGCCCAAACTATTCTATTGGGAAAAGTGGGGTGGGAAGTTTGACTTTGTAATAGTGTCACTCTTTGGGGGGAATTTCAGACTTGGTTTCACTTTTGATCGTGCCAATATTTTGTATCCAATAAACATGTTCTTTGAGGAAGCTTCTAGCTTTGGAGTTCTGATTTATTTGGTTCCATCTATCAGAACCATGACAGTGATCACATGACCCTGGGAGACTGGAACCGTCATATGCACATGCCAGTTGCCAAGCATCTATATTCTGATCACATGACCATGGCGATAGGGCAACTGTCATGTGAAAACCGGTCATAAGTCACTTTTTTTGGTGCCATTATAACTTTGAACGGGCACTAAATGAATTGTTGTACATCAAGTCAATTGCTGTAATGTGTGATATGGACGTAGGAACCTTTCTTTACCTGATGGGATATTCTTAGATGGCTCTTCCTGGGAGCTCTTTCCCAAGTCCACCTCCTGAGAGGGATGCAGCACGTCTACCCATGCTTTACAGTGTTCAACGGCCACTTCCACGAAGGGTTCCTGAACCTGAAATCGTAGTTAAGAGAAAAGAGTGCATTTCTGCCCAATGTTTCCAATTCCACAGCTCCTTTTGGAAGCTTTTCACATGTCCTGGCAAATTACCAAAAGGAATCAATAACAGAGTTGGAAGGGACCTTGAAGGTCATCTAGTCCAACCCCCTCC